GGGTTCGAATCCCCAGCCCGGACCCGCCAAACAACGACGGCTGCAACCCCAAAAAATAGCCAGGTGTTGTGGCGGGTGCCTGTGGTCCCAACTACTTGGGAGGCGGAGGCAGGAGATTCGCTTGAGCCCAGGAGTTGGAGGTGGTGGTGAGCTGTGATGCCACAGCACTCTACCCAGGGGGACAGTTTGAGGCTCTGTCTCAAAAAAAAAGAAAATGGTCAAAGATGGAGGTAGCCCAGACATGGTGGCTCATGCCTGTAATCTTAGCACTTTAGGGGGACAAGGTAAGAAGATCACTTGAAGCCAATCTAAGCAACACAGTGAGACCCTGTTTCTACAGAAAATAAGACAAATTAGCCAGATGTGGTGATACACGCTTGTAATCCCAACTATTTGTGAAGCTGAGGCAGGATGATTGCTTGAGCCTGGGAATCCAAGGTTGTAGTAAGCTATAATGACACCAGTGCACTCTAGCCCAGGTGACAGAGCAAGATCCTTTATCAGAAAAATAAAAAAAGATGGGGGTACAGTTTTCTAGGCACAGGGATGAGCAATGCAAAGACCCAAGTTGATAATTCCTCTGCCTGATTTGTTGGCCCCTGAATGCCATCACTGACTCCCTGATTGTCAGTGAAGAAAGAGTATGATCTTCTCATGTTGGTACGTAAAAGATTAGTGCCATATTTTTCATGGCTGCAGAGGCAACATTGTACGGCCACGCCTTGATGTATTCACCTCGCACCCACGAAGGGATGCTTCCCTTGGTGCTGTAGTTGGTATCCTTGACTATTTATCTTTTAATAACTCTCCCAGGTCTTCAAGGGATTATGGAGAAATAAGCGTTCATAAATAATTCATTGTTCATGTTAACAAACCTTATAAAATAGTCATATTTTCACTTATTAATAATTATGCTTTGATTAAAAAGTGGTATTTTAATTGTCTCTTTAAAATTCTCACTTTTTCCCTGAAGGGGATTATGTCTTTGAGACTATATATTTGTGGGCTCGGCGCCTGTGGCTCAGGTGGCTAGGGTGCCAGCCACATACACC